AGATAACTATATTTTTAAACTGTTATGAATTCTTTTAAAAAAAGATTTATTTATGCATACAAGAACTGGGGTACAGGCTAGAGGTGCAGGGGATGAGAGTGCTCATCAGAGACAGGGTGGGGAGCAGAACAAGTAGATGTACTGAAATACACTGCTGAGGGGAGCAAGAGGCAGGTCAGGAGAGATCTGCTGTGCCATGCAGGTCATCTCCCTGCCTGGGGATCGAACTCATGCTGCAGTGACTATGGATAGCTTCATAGTGCTACACTTCAACCTGCTGCACCATCAGGGAGGGCCGTAAGGATTTTTTTTAGAAAAAGATATCACATCACTATGACCTTCTTCATCCTATTACTACCCCATTTTATTCTGTTGTGGTTGAGTTTGAAGTCACCTCTGCACAAATACCAACTATGCCAGGGCCCTGAACACAGGCAGGGACCTGAACACATAGGCGGGGACAAGACCTTTGGGGGGAGTGTGTGTCCCCTTCTCATCACACTCATCAACACTGAGGGTCTTTACTAATTTTCCCCTCTAACTCTAAGAGAGTCTGTGTTGTACCGTGCATGGTTAAGAACAGCACGTTAACAGGATTCAAATTTTGGTGCTGATAGTCTCTGTATTGGACAATTGTTCTAAGTCCTGGCTTTGTGCTTGGATAATGAAAATAACTATATTGTTTTACTGGAAATATACTTGTAAGTAGGTATAAAATTGAGTAATGTTGGGAATGGCCCTCGAGTGCCTGGCACAGTAAAGGGTAAACACAGCATTTGGCATTTCTCTGTTTACTTATGTCTTTTTGGTTTTTGATTCTTCAAACATCTTCAACCATCCCAGTCATTTCTTCTATGAATTGCCTACTTGTGCCCTTTCTTCATGTGTATACTGGCATCTAATTTTACACTGTGTTTGAGTGAGGACTGAGAGTGTTCTAGAAGGCTTTAAATGAAGGGAGAGATGAGGATTGGAGGATCTTCCAGGGAGCATTTTCCACTGGTTAGGTCAGCCTCCTCTCTCCCAAAAGCTGGCCCTGTCTTCCCTCAGAAAGTTTCATCAGCTTTAATAAGTCCATCTTCCGGGTGGCTGGTTCCCCTGTCCTGCTGCACCCACAGCCTCACAGGTGTGTTTTCTTTCTCTAGTCATTTAAGTGGCATCCATCAGATAAGTGTGGCTGTCTCGGGCCTATGCTGAGAGGCTGTTTCTGCACTGTGTGGACCTAAGACCTGCTCCCCCTCAGCTGTGTGAGCATATAGCCTGCCAAATACCTGACCTTCCTGGAGAAAACGCAAAAGCCTGAGGGACAGTTTAGATAAAAGGCACATTCTTAAGATTGCTCCCTCTCTTTTTTCTCTTGCTTGGCCCTCATCTTGCCTGACCTGGACAGCCACATTTTTTTCCCACACAGGGTAGAGGGACTCAGGTCGTACAAGTGTGTGTGTGTGTGTATGTGTGTAGGGTGGGGGGAGGGCATATTTCTAAGTTGCAAAAGGAACCAAGCTTTTTCCTCTGCTAAATGGATTTTTTTATAACAGTTTATTTTTACATCATTTTGTACATTTTTTTTCCATCTCAATTGTAATTCCCGCAGGTTTGCTAAATGGATTTTTTTAAAAGTTATTTATTTATTTATTTATGCACACAAAAACTGGGGTACAGGCCAGAGGTGTGGGGAGTGAGAGGATATACAAGAGACAGAGTGGGGAGCAGAACAGCAGATCAATGAAGCACACTGCAGTGGGTGTGTCAGGAGAGGCCTGCCACTCCATGTGGGTCACTTGCCTGGCTGGGGAGCAAACTTGTGCTGCAGTGACTGTGGTAGCTTCACAGTGCTGCGCTTTAACCTGTTGAGCCACAGAAAGGACCCCAAATGGCTCTTGGCAGAAGAGTTCTTATGGATGAATGTCTCTGGGAGATTTGATGGTAATATGAAGTTGGTGACTAGTCTTAAAACATGTGTTTGAGGACTCTCCCTGGTGGTTCAGTGGGCTAAAGCTCAGCACTGTAAGCTAACTGCAGCCACTTCAATGTGAGTTTGATCCTCCACCCAAGAGGTGACCCACATGGCCCAGCAGACCTCTCCTGACCCGCCTGCTGCTCCCCTCAGCAGTGTACTTCCTCAATCTCCCCACTCTGTCTCTGGTGAATCCTCTCACTGCACCGGCACCTCTGGCCTATATACATAAATAAATAAATCTTTAAAAACAAAAACATGTGTTTGAGTGAGGAATGTATGTATTTTGGGTGGTGAGGTGGGGAGGATTGTGTGTCATTCTGGAACATCAGATATGGCAAGGGCCAGAAGCCATGGCAGGAATTTCCCCATGTGGGGTTTCCCATGAAGACCCTCCCTCAGAGCGAGGTCATCTTCTGCCTGGATAGCTCCAACACTGAAGTTTATATCCTGGTCCTGGTGACACCCCTTCATTCAGGCCCCATTCACCTGTGTTTCATGGAGTAGATATTAGACTGGGAGACGGAAAATCTGGGTTGGAGCTGATATTTTGCCTCTTTTTTGACTTTGTATGGTTGCAAACAGACTTTGTTCCTCATCTGGAAAATTCCCTGTTCTGCTCTTCTTCCTGTTTGACCATGGAGTTCAAATAAGTGTACTGGCTAAGGTATAAAGGCTCCAAAGACAGGAGAATCTCTTCTCTTAGAAACAAAGGCAGTTGGCACAGCCCCTGTCCCAGCATCTCCTGTAGCGTTTGAACAACTCAAAGTGCTATTTCTCCCCTGAAAGAGGCCTGGAGTCTGAAGTCATCTTAGCACTGATAGGCTGTTTCCTCCCTGCATTCTACTGTCTCTTTAATCTAAAGAGAGGTCTGGAGCCTGCTGGAAAACAGGTGTTTCCCTGGCACTTAGAGGGTCTGGAGAGGTCACCCATTTTGTTTTAGTTATTGTGGATTGTTCACAAGTTTGCTGGAACATCTCCCTGTGAGGCTGATCCTGGAGACAGACAGGCAGCAGTTAGAACTGGGTGGTCCCTGCAGCAGAAGACAGCAGACAGGAGCAGGGGAGGCAGGAAGGATGATTCCTGTACTTGGACAGGGTGCTGAATGGAAGTTTGGAGGACTGGCCGGAAGTGGAAAGGGAGAAAGTGGAATAGTGTTCCTGAGGAATGTCGGGTCTTGCAAGAAAAACACAGCTCTGGGAGAGAGCTTATCACCTCTTTATTTTGCCTAGTGAAGAATTTATCTTAGGAGGCGGGTGGAAATGTTTATCATAGCTACACAAATAAACCAGAAGGGAAGACTGCGTGGCTGGACCTCATGGGACCTGGTAAAATGGAGAATTTTTTTCACTCCATTTCCTGGTGAAATGTCTTAAGCTGCTAGCCATTCTCCAGCCAATTTGGGAGTAATGATTATTTAAACATCTATCAGAAAGGCAGTTTAATTCTCTGCATATCTTTTATATAATCAGAGTTCAAGATACATATATATATATACACATATATATTTACTCTCATGATTTGATCTGTGTACTCAGTTGACCCAGAAAATTATTTCTAGCATTTGAGAGAAATTTTGGTATTCCATGGTCTCGTTTATCACATCATTCAGTGTCCTTCAGTAAGACTTTTAACCTCCCTCTTGAGCAAAATGCACTAGACTCTTGAAGGAGAATAAGAAATATGAGCCAGTGCGGTGGGAAGAGCGCTAAATTCTATCCCAGGAATCTTTATTTTAATCCAGATAAAACCTAGCTGAGCCATGGGAAGTCACGTAGAATGTCTTTCATTTCTTGTACAACGAGGATCCTGGCTGCCTTAAGCTGGTCTGAGGCTAATTGGGCCCTGGATGTGAAGAGCTTTCCGAGTGTCCTGGGCTGGATGCAGGCAGCATTTGAAGGGTGATACCGTGCTGGCATCAAGTTCAGCACCGGGCAGACAGGAATCTGCCCCAGCCTTTGAAAGCACCTCTTGATGTCTGTGAAGGTCAGAGCTGCTTCGGCCTGTCTGACTGTCTTATTGACAAGGCTTCTTTCCCAAGGCGGCTTCACTTGGCTAGAGGTCCCTCTCATCTGTTTGCTGAGCTTGCTTAGGCCCCTTCTGGTCAGCAGTTACACCCCATAGCTCCTTCAGGTTCCATGCTGGGTTTGGGGATCCTGGAGCCTCGTACTCCACACCTGTCTCTCCTCCAAAAAGCAGTGGCTGCAGTGGGTGGGCAGCTTCTGCCTGGGCCACAGAGACCTTCCTCCTCTTCTGTCGCCTTCTCCCTGGCGCTTACATCTGACCCTCTGAAGTCACTCATCTGTGTTGCAGTTAGAAAACCTGCCCGGAGCTGGATCCTTATGGAAGGTACTTTCTTGCTTTTCTTTTTCTGCCAGAACTGGGTGCACTCCGGGACTTGGACAGCAAATTGGTAGTGCAGCAGGAAGGGGGGAGGTGCCAGTCTGGCTCCGGGAATTCACTGGTCATTGTTTTTGTCTCAGGCTGTGCCCAGTATACTCCGGGTCACTGAATGAGCAACGCAGCTAAAATTCTGGGTTCACAGGCAGCTTCTCACAGTTGTGGGCCCCCAGGAGGCAGGTGATGGCAAAGTTTCTGAAAGCAATGCCAGGGAGCAAGAGATGTGCACTGGAGGGTTTCAGTACCTCAGGCAGCTGTGCCTCCACTAGTGATACCGTATCAATGAGTCACTGCGTGCTGGGAGCTGGGTGGAGGAGGAAAAGCATAATTAATGATAACACCCCCATGCTTCTTTCTACCCACCCCAACCCACAGAGGAGTACGCAGATTTGGGGGAGTGGGAGGATGAAGGTATGTGCTGTTTGTTTTTTGAAGTGTCCCTCCCATGTGGTAACAGCCCGGGGAACTAACTTTGCATTTGAAAGATCTGAGCTGTCTTCCTCGCTGCTGGGTCCAGTATCAGCTCCTTGAGCACCCGAATCCCTCCCCAACCCCAATCCCCTTTTCCTGGGAACCAAAAGGAAGTCATCGGTATTTGCTTTCCCAGCAAGGTCACAGATCACCTGACCAAATCCTTTAACAGCAGGGAAGCCGATGCTGATGTGCTGAACTCCCGTGCAGTCAGCTTTTCGGTCCAGTAGCCCGAACCTTGCTTCCTGGAAGGCAGACTGCTCTGGCTCCGGGCTGTGGCTGCAGGAGGATGCCAAGGGAAGGTAATGTGGGCACAGCTTTCTTCCTGACAGTTTTCTCTTCTGGAAGCTTCAGTTTCAGCTGCTGCATTGCAGGCAGAAATGACAGGCACTTGCAGAAAAATGTGATAACGAGTTGATGCGATTGTGTTAATGCACCTTTATTGAGCACGAGTTCTCTTTTTGTTTCCTGGGTGGGCAGAGACTTGGGTCAGCAGAATCTTTTCCAGGACTACGCCTCACGCCCTCGGTGTCTAGGTTTCTGGGTTTTGCCCTCTCAATGTTAAGTACCAGCTCTCAGATGCCCCCTGCTTCTCAGCACAGGGGAAATGTACACTCGCTGAAGCAGGGGGCCTGGAATGAGGAGACCGGGATGCTCTCATCATCTTGGCAGGTTTGGCTCATGGTATGGGTCATTTTTTTCCCCTCCTTGGACAGAGTGCTTTGTCCTTGCAAGTGCTCTTGGAGGGACTGACAGATCTGCTGTTGGGAGTGCCACCTTGCTAAACATTTGACTTTGTGAGTTTGGATTCTTCAAGAGTTCTTGTGGCAATAAGGCTGTGCTGTGAGCCAAGCTTTCTTTTCAAGGAAGTCCAAGGTGCTATTTATTTTGGCATGTGGCCTATTGTGGGATGAAATATGGCATTATTATTACTGCAAAATAAAGAGAGGTTTGAAAAAAAAAACAAAAGTACAGAACTAGGTTTCATTTTCAAGATGAAGGGAAATTTGTTTCTTTGTATTTGGAGCTGAGGTTAGACATGCAATTGAAAAATGGCATCATCAAAGGAATCCCTATGGGGAGGCAGCTGGGCACTGCTGCCCCCAGGCAAATCCATGCCCTGGGGCTTGGGCCCTGCTGGAACCTTCTAATGTGGCCTGGTAGAGTTAGTTGGGCTATCCCTGCTGGCTACCTGAGATTGTACTTTGGTAGATTGTGAATAGGCATCCTCGGCTCCCTCCTCTTCGCTGCCTGCTTTCAGAGGCTGTGGGGTGATTGATCATGGAGTGACAGGAACTGTTCTGCCCCTGGTTAGTTAACTTTGATTGGCTGCGTAGTCACTTTGTACTTTGGAGATGACACCTATTTCCCAGGGTTATCTGTGTAACAATAAGTGAGACACTCCACCCCATAGCAGACCACCCTTAACCCCACCCCGACCCCCCCATGAAAGCCAAGTCATTTTGTTCCTGTGAGTGCTGAGTATCAAGTGTTAGGATACAGGGCTATTGAGGGTGGAGACAGGCATGAGTCCTGCAGGAATTGTGACCTTCATAAGTTTGTAGTTTGGCAAGGAAGAAGAACGAGAAAGAGATAAAGCTATATATACACAAAACACATGTAATTTGATGAGCTAGTGAGAGGAACTTGGATCTAATTGGGCCTCTTTGATCCCCGATAGGATGTAAACAAACACATCTTTACAGAACAACACCAGGTATTACAGGCTCTGAGCACTAGAGATACGACTTAACAAAATGAGTAATAAATTGCTTATGTCAAATTTTAAATGCTCCAGGTCACAGATTTCATTTTAAAGGGGATTTCTGTCAAAATGTAATGATTTACATATTCCATTGTGTTGCAAACAAAGGAGCATTTGTTGATGAGGCAATTACTCTCCAGTTCCACTCACCTAGCCACATCAAACACCCAGCCACTCGAAGAAAACCCCTTTAGCCAAACTGCAAAATATCCCCTATAAACTACCCTGAGCAAAAAGCTCAGAAGCTGGGTTGGAGGAGGTGAAATGTTGTGGTGGGCTCATGACCCCCCTTCTTCCCATTTAGAACCCTTTATAGAGCTCTCTCCTTCAGAGAGTTGAAGTGTCAGCTCCATTTAATTTCTGTAGCCTTGGAATGATTGATGTTAGCTAAGTTGAAGTAGAAAATAAGAAAATTATTAGCGGTCTCTCTAGAGTTCTTTTTAATGAATTTTGACCTAATGTGTGCTGCATAATTATTTGAAGCCCCGTGCCCTGATCTATGAAAGCTGAATGCCTAACTAACTAAAGGCTCTGGGTGTGATTGAGCCCCCAAAAGGTCTATGACAGCGTGCAGGAAAAGGTGCATCTGCCGGGGGTGGGGGTACTTCTTCCTTGGAAGAAGCCTACTGCTTGCAGTCCAGTCTTGGAAAAATACCTGTTTCCTTTGTGAGGTCTCATGAGAGAGCCGGTGGGAGAAAGAGGGAAGCCTTATTTCCCAGGGTGAAGAGCACTAGGGCTCAAGCATACTGTTGGGCAGGTATGTGGGGGAGGACGAGGGTGGACAAATCACTTCTCCCAGCATAGGCTTGGGGTCACCACGTCCTGCTGCAACACTTGCATGTCTGTGGACTTTCTCAGTCTCAGTCTCCTGATCTGAAAAATGGGAACAGTAGTAACAGGCTTTGGGTTCTGGTGAGAATCCCATGAGATTATTGAGTTATGTCAAGGGCCCCGTCCTCTGGCTTTCCAAGGAAAGTTATGGGGTGCAAGGGAGAGGGGAACAGGGAAGCAGGTGAGGGACAAACTTGGGGTTTGTGACCTCATCCTTCTCTTCTCAGGCCTAATCTTGACACTGCTGAGCCTCTTTGCCTGCCAGCCTCCAGGAGGCCCACAGGCCACCTCCAGACTGCAGACTGTAGTGAACTGGGGAGCAGTGTCTTCCCGGGACCCTTCTCTTATCTTGGCGGCACCAGCGGGTCCTCACTGCGCCCCACTAAGCCGGTCCCCACCGTGGCTCCCCACTCCCCTCTTGGAGCCTCAGCCCCACACTCAGATTTCGTTGGTTTGGTTTTGGCTGGCTGTTTGTTTTATTTCTCTATATTTCCACATGTAAGTGAAACTATCTGGTCTTTGTCCTTATGGCTTAATTTGCTTAGCATTATATGATGAAAACTTATCATTGTTCATTTCTTTGCAGTGTATGCTCTCTCCTGTTAGGTATAGTCCCTATAAAATTCCCTCCATCAATTCACCTGTGAACCATGTAATGAGATCTTTTTTATTTTTTTTTAAGATATGGAACTGGGGTACAAGCCAGAGATGTAGAGGGTGAGAGGATTCACCAGAGATAGAGAGGGGAGCAGAACAGGCAGATGGATGAAGTACACTGCTGAGGGGAGCAGCGGGCGGGTCAGGAGAGGTCTGCCGCGCCATGTGGTCACCTCCGGGGCAGGCGGGGATGGAACTCATGCAGAAGTGGCTTTAGCTTCTTAGTGTTGTGCTTTAACCCGCTGCGCCACAGAGAGGGCCCATGTGATGAGATCTTTTAAGTTTATACTCAGCAATTTCAAATACACAGTACGTATTATTAACTATAATCACTGTGCTATAGGTTACATCCTCAGGACTTATTAATCTCATATCTGACAGTTTTACTTTTACCTACCTTCACCCATTTTGCCCACCCCTCCCATCCTCTGGCAACCATCAACCTGTGAACCAAGTCTATGAGGTCTGTTGTTTAGTTTCCACATGTAAGCGATAGTGTACAATATTTTCTCTCTCTGTCTGGCTTATTTCACTGAGCATAATGCTTTCAAGGTTCTACCATATTCTAAATGTCACAATTTCCTTCTTTACGACTGAATAATTTTCCATTGTGTGTGCCACAACTTTTTTTTTTTTTTAAGATCTATTTATTTATGCACACAGAGCTGGGGTACAGGCCTGAGGTGCAGAGGCAGTAAGAGGATTCACCAGAGACAGAGTGGGGAGCAGAACAGGCCCACTGATGAAGTACACTGCTGAGGAGAGCAGCAGGCAGGTCAGGAGAGTTCTTCTGGGCCATGTGGGTCACCTCTAGGGCAGGGATCGAACTCATGCTGAAGTGGCTTTAGCTTCTTAGTGCTGTGCTTTAACCCACTGTGCCACCCGGGAGGGCCCACCACAACTTCTTTATTGATTCATTCACCACTGGACAAAACCTCTTTACAACAAGGGTGACTCTCCCTTGACTCAGTAAGAACCCTCTAGTCCTTTCCAATGTTACCTCCATGACAACCACGCTCTGCCTCCAGGACCATCCACTCTCACCCTCCTTTGCTACTTCCTCACCTCCACCTCTGTGCCACCCCAGACTCAAATCCTCATCACCTCAGGGGTACTTGTCCCCTCAGAGAGGTACTTATAGTGTCATTGTTCCTTCTACAAGTGTCGCTGTGTACAGACCCTGCATGCTGTTCAAGGCTCAGCCGTACCTGCACAGGGAAGGCCCATCTGAGGTATGTGGAATAAGGTTCAGAGGAACCAAGGCAGGAAACAGGAAACAGCATTGATCCTGGAGCACGAGCAGTGCTCAGCGCAAGAGGAGACACTAAACTTTCTATTGGCAAACTTCAGTCTTCCTCTTATTTGAGTCCTGATGTTTCTCTAGTGAGTTCACTTGTCTGATCCCCCTTTTCCATCCTGGGATGCTGGGACCACCCCTCACTTTTCTCTCATGCTGTGTCCTTCCCTCCTCACTGTCCAGATTTTTGGTCTGGAGTTCATTATTAAACACATTGGAATTCTTAAAACAGTCCTGCTTCCACTCCTGGGATGTAACAGATAATTCATTATTCTGATGTGTGCAGTTACAATCATAAAAAGTCAATTTCCTAGGTGATTTATTGTCACAGAGGCAGCAGCTAGGTTGTTTATCATTTGAAGAAAGAGTTATGGGAATGGATTAAGACTTTGGGGAGAATTTATGATCAAACCTCAAGTACCCTACCTAATTCAGAGTCAGGACAGTATTCTGCTTGAATAGTCACCGATGTTGTCTCGTCACTTAGATTTAACTTCCCCTTGTTCTGCGGTGGTTAGAAATCACCTGTAAGTATCAGCTCCTTGTCAGACTTGCAGTTATATCATCTTTGTCTTGGATTGGATTGGGATGTCACCGGCCATATAGCTGTAGACTAATTACAGCTATTTCACAAAATGGATTATATTTCTTTTACAGGCATGGGGGTAAGTAGATTTCAGCGCTTGATATCATGAAAGACTACAGGCTGGTGGTCAGAGCCCTGGGTCTGGATCCACCTCCTTCTTTGATACGCTGAGAGGCCTTGCACAGAGCAATTAACTTCTGAGCCTGCTTTCCCTCTCCTGCTAAGTGAGGGTCTTGGATGAAACTCTCTCTTTGGTATTAACCACTGCCAAGTTTCCATGAAGGCATACCTACAACTAAAAACTCTGGGAATGTTTATCGGTTTTTAACCTCCCTCCTTGGAGGCCCTGGGAACCCCAGGGAGAAAGGTGGGATGGATGTTGCTTTCTTTGGTCTCCATACTTATTCCAATTCTAATGAGATTCCTCTCTTCTATCCTCCTTCCTTTCAGAGCTCTCCAACAAATTTTACAGACGGACTGGATGAAGAGTAGCTGAGAAGCTGACAGTCAGCATTTCCTAAGATGGAAAAGACAGATGGTAGGTGAACTGCTTTGTATTCTCTGGTCTAAAATGAGCACTTGGGTTGGCAGGTATGGTTACTACAAATCCTGCTAAAAAACCTAGGGGAGGCCCTCCCTGGTGGTGCAGCGGGTTAAAACACAGCACTAAGAAGCTAAAGCTACTTCAGTATGAGTTCGATCCCTGCCCTGGGAGGTGACCACATGGTGCAGCAGACCTCTTCTGACCTGCCCGCTGCTTCCCTCAGCAGTGTACTTCATCAGTTCTGCCTGTTCTGCTCCCTGCTCTGTCTCTGGTGAATCCTCTCATCCCCACACCTCTGACCTGTACCCCAGTTCTGTATGCATAAATAAATAAATCTTTAAGAAGCAAACAAACAAAAAAACCTAGGGGAGCCCACAGAAGACAGCCCCCAACACCTGGTGTTGGATGCCCATGCACGATACGCCTGAAGAGTAGCAGGTGGTAGGGGATGAGAACGAAGCTTTCTGTCTCTGTTGTATTTGGATCATTTTCAGAGTGCTTTCTCATCTCTTCCAGGTACCAAGTCGAGAGTAGGGTGCTCTCACCCATTATCCTCATTTTAGAGATCAGGAACTCAAAGTCGAGGCAGACGGCATAGTAGAAAGGGCCTCCATTCACCCCTGTGTGATTCTGTTACTTCAATTCTCAGCCTCAACTCCATCATGTATCGGTTAACGTTGCTGTGTAACAAACAACTCAAAAGATGTATTGACTTAAAGATCTTTTTTGAAAAATGGTGTGGCTGAGCTAGTATTCTTGCTTGGGTGATCTCTACAAAACTTGTTCACAGCTCTGTGGTCTTCCGGGTGACTTGACTGGCGCCACATGGTTGAGGATGGTCACCCTCACCTGTGGTGTTTGACTGCATGTGCCCTGGCGTGTCGGTGATGATTTGGCCATGTGTCTCTCATCATCCCGCAGGCTGGCTGGGGGGTATTCACATGGTGAAAGGAGGGTTCCTAACGTAGCAAGAACAGACATATTCTGACTACAAGCAGTTTTTAAGTCTGTGCATAGATTACATTTGCTGTTGAGCCCCACTGACCCAAGCAAGTCACAAGGCCAGGTCCAGGGTCGGTGTGAGAGGGGAGTATCCAAGGGTGGAAGATGACCGGCTATTTTTGCAGACAGTCTATCACTCTTCTCTAATAGCAGGCTTTGGTGCCTACTTTATAGGGCTGGCAAATGACTAAATGAGACAATACATGTGAAGTTGTCGGGTTAATAACTATTGAGCACAATCAGTGCCTCCATGAGTGCCCCCATCTACATCTTCCTGGGAAACTTGTTGAAGATCACAGACTGGAAGTAGATCACCTTACTTCTAAAAAAATGCATTTTCCAGATCACCAAATGTCAGGAAACTGGAAAGCCTGCATTCCCTTTTTGAATCACATGGCTTCTCACTGGCACAGGATGTAGGGACCAGGCATCGGCTGCAGTCGTGCCTCTTCCTTCTTTCCAAATGCAGTCACCATATATCTCAACAGTCTGCCTTTCTCCCCAGAGATCTGCCTTTTCAGTGCTCCCTGGAAGTGATCCCACAGAACCCAGCTCATTCGTTTGTGTCCCAGGGGCCTGTAATCGGCTGCCTGTCGCTGCTCAGCTTCTTCCACCCTGGGCCTCTGCTTGCCCACAAGAAGCTCAACAAAGTCACCCCTCCTGTCAGGCACCCATATCTCACAAAATAAAGGCAGAAAGGGGAAAGCTTCTGTCCTCATTGTCTGGACCTCTTGAAGTGGCTCACTTAATTCCCCTTCTTTCTGGCTTTATTTTTAGCCACTTTCTAGTTTCTGTTTTTCACATTTCCTTCAGAAACTGAACACAGCCTTTGAGCTTTATCCCCCACTTTACGCACCTCCAATTGGTTTGCTCACCTGCCACCACATTTCCTCAAGCTACTTACTGAGGTGCCTCCTTCCTTTCCTGTCCCCATCTAACCCCTTCCTCATGTCTCTGTGTTACCTGAAGCCGAGGTCTGTGTTTCTAGGCTCTTCCAAGGGTCCAGTGAGGTAGCATGTTTTCAGAACAACTCTACAGACAATTGTAGGTAACGCTGAGCCTCATGTATCTAGTTTTATTCTTCCCTAACTCATTTTCTCAGAACTATTTTGGGGGACTCTTCAGTCCCTCCCTCTTGAGACTGTACTAACAGGAGTAAATATTCCAGGGAACAGGAACATCGTCTGTGACTCCTCCCCTACCCCATTCAGAACCTAGTCCTCCTTGCCTTTCAGTTCCTTGGTCAAGTACCGTGTTTTGTTTGTTCTGTACTGCATTAGTGCCAACAGTCACAACTCGAAGTTAGGCTTTACTATTGTCACTTAACAGAGAAATTGAGACCTAGGGAAATTAAATAATTTGCCCAGAATCACTTCGGTAGATGACAGAGCCACAACTCAAATCCAGCCAGTTGGCCACATACTGGCTTATCCCATGTGAAGTCCATTTTGAACAGAGTCTTCCAAAAGTAGTTATTGCCCTGGCTCGATGCCCAGAATTCTGAGTTCCTGCATCCCTGTCACCAGGTAAACTTAACAGGAGCAGAGCTAGTGTGAGTGTAGGTTTCCCAGCCAATCAGCACAAGCTCCTTTGTTCAAGCTCCAGTGTTTCTTGCACTGGGATAAAAAGAAGGAACACAGAGCAGCAGATGGCAGGCAGGGCAGTGCAGTGCAGTGGTGGTTGTATGTGAGAGAGAGGTCATGAGCCAGAGACGTTCCAGCCCAAGCTATAATACCCATCCCCCTGGTGTGCAGACTCACAGACTTCTTCGGGTCTTTTATCCCCTGTGGAAGATTTACCCTTTGAATCTGCTGTTTCTTATTTAATGCTATTATTGTATTTGCACTCTGGCCCTGCTCCCAGATGCCACTGGGTAAATCAGTGCATTTCTACTGAGCCGAGTCAATAAGCAGATAAATAATACCTTAAGGAGAGTTCTTTGGCTTCTGTTTTATAACTTTGGACAAAGTTTGTTCTCTCAGATTTGACCTGTCCCTCTAATGCAAGAGGCGCCTGAGTGGAGCAATCAGCCCACAAGTATTGCTTAGCGCAGCTTAGAAAGCCAACGAGAGCAAGCATTCTCATCTACTGAACTGCCATTGTGCCTCTATAGGTCAGCAAAAAAAAAAAAAAAAAAATGAGCAAATGTGAAATTATCTGTAACTTTCTGGGTGCTGGAGCATTTACTTGTTAGTGGTATGAAGTCCAGGTACCTGCCAGCACAGAAGCTCTGGAACCAATGAGTTTCATCGTATGACTCAGGGCCAAAACTCCCTCTGTTCCTTGCTTCTGCTGGGATGTGATTACCCACAGACCCTGCCATGTTTTGCATTGAGGCTGGGGGTTCCATTGTGTCAGTATTTGTGAGCTCAGCCTTTGTGTCTAGTCTGCTTCACTTAGTGTATTTAGTTCTCTGAGATAACTACTTCCCCAAGCACAAAAGCCACCTGACAAGCATATGGCATCAGATGGAAGATGGAGGGGTCAGGAGCAAGTGAGAAGAGCTCAGTCCTGTTATGTCAACACCCATTAGAAGGAAACCAGCCCCAGGTGCACCTCATTTTTATCTTCTCTTCACCTATCCCTGTCCTTCCGTGGCCTTTAGCTTCTCTCACCTTGACCTTGTCAGTAGTCTGATTCATCATAGCTGATTCATCTCTGTCTGAAGGATCTAGATTGGCAAACAACACATAGGTGATCAAGTAATAGTGGATCAGGTAAGTGAACTGAATTACTCTTCTCTTGTCATTTTGCCCCTAAGATTTCTTATCCTTAGAACTAGGCAGTTGACTGATCATAAATTTGTGTTTAGCCTCAAAGCTAAACATGGCAGGGTCTGTGGGTAATCACATCCCAGCAGAAGCAAGGAACAGAGGGGGTTTTGGTCCTGAGCCACAGAACAGAACTCATTGGCTCCAGAGTTTCCACTGAGATTTCTTACCCTCAGAACTAAGAAGTTGACCGATCATAAATTAGTGTGCACCCAGAAAATCAGCTTCCATTAAGGGGCTTCTGGCCTCTGTGTTTTGGGCTTCTCCAAAGATGGTAATTGTGATACTGTATATATTGGATGTTTGTCAGATGATAGGCATCGTTCTAAGCACTTTATATTATTAATTAATCCGTCCTTACAAGATGTCATCTTGCCACATTATTCCCATTTTACAGATCATGAAATACAGGGAGGCTCTGTCATTCCCTGAGCTATGACATACCAATCGCCTGTGGTTTCCACTCTTGTCCTTTCTTGATCTCAACAGTTTCAAAGCATGTTGAAATGTCAGAGAGATAGACAATAAGGGCTCTTACCTGAAGAACATCAAAGGAACAAAGATTATTTAACTTGAAGAAAAAGCTACTTGGAAACAAGTCCCTCTGGACTTGAAATATTCAAAGGCCTCACTTGTTCTTGGCATCCTCTGTTGAAGACAAGAAGATGGTAGCTTGATGTGATGGGGAATTTTCCCATCATCACATTTTCTCATCGTGTCCAGTAATTGGCCGGGCCACACGGAAAAGTCTTCAAGGATGTATGCCAATGTCTCTTTTGATGTTAAAAGGCCCTTTTTTCTCATCACCTTTTCCCCCCGTCTATGAAAAATGTGGTATTTCCTCACTTGGCATGGGTTTTTCAAAATGACATTCACATTTGTTAAGCACTAAGCAGCTTTCAGGTGGAAAAGATCATGGGCAAGACATGAATATATGTTCCAATTTTCTCTGATCTTCCTGCACCTGGAGGCGCAGGCCTCTGAGAATGTCTAAATAATGCAGAAGGCCCAGCTCCTTGATGTCCCTGGCTTTAGCAAGACCCTGTTTGAATAATTCAAGATTTTTTTTTTTATCCCCAGATTCTTTTTTTTTTTTTAAAGATTTATTTATTTATGTATACAGAACTGGGGTACAGGCCAGAGGTGTGGGGAGTGAGAGGCTTCACCAGAGACAGAGTAGGGAGCAGAACAGGCAGATCGATGAAGTACACTGCTGAGGCGAGCAGCGGGCAGGTTAGGGGAGGTCTGCCACGCCATGTGGGTCAGCTCCCTGGCCGGGGATTGAACTTGTGCTGCAATGGCTGCGATAGATTCATAGTGCTGTGTTTTTACCCTTTGTGCCACCAGGGAGGGCTTCTAGATTCTTTTTTAAATGCTAAGACAGTTGTATATCTCAACCTTTGGGGTCTTCTAAGTCTATAATTGTTGATGAGTACCCGGATGTGGCAAATTCCTTGCCACTTCAGTTCAGTGATGACATGACTCCAGCCCAGGACAATAGTATAATATAATTTTATTTTGCTGATCTGCAGATAGATTCCACAGAAGTAACTGGAATGACTTTCTGCAAAGTGGGAACTATTGCCTCTGCCTTTTTCTTGCAGACATTGGCTAAGTACACATTGATATCATTACTTTTTAGCACAGCTGAAAACATTGTGAACATCTCATCCTCCACATAATTTAGAAGCTGCAATGCTTAGGAGAAGCCTCATGTGAAAGCATGAAGTCAAAATCACAGATATTAAACCTCACTGGCCTGTAATTCTTATTCACATTATACTTTTGTTTAACATGTCTTGTCTTATAGCCAAAGACCAGTCTTCCCAAAGGGATGATGAGAAAGATCTTCCAAAGTACTCTGTGGAGACCCCATATGGCTTTCATTTAGACCTGGACTTCCTCAAGTATGTGGATGACATTGAGAAAGGAAACACCATCAGAAGGATCCCTATTCACAGACGGGCCAAGCAGGCCAAGTTTAGCACTTTGCCCCGAAACTTCAGCCTTCCTGACAGCGGGGCTCGTCCCCATGCTGCTTTTCCCCACCCAAACTGGTCACCACTGGCCCCAAGAAAGGTGTTCCTCAGGACAGAGGAGAGGGCTCAGTCACTGCCTCTTGGGGATGCCCCCCACACCTGTGCTGGTGGAAGTGAGCTGAGCTACCACAGGAAGGCCTTGCTGGCGGAGACTGCCCGACAGTTAGAGGCTGTCGTTCTTGGGGACACTGAACTCACCTCCGGGAGTGGACGGCCCCAACTCTTAAGAGCATCTAGCATGCCAGCCACACTGCTGCAAAACAGGGCCTCAGAGGACACCAGCCTCAACTCAGATCCCCCCACATTCCCTCTTCTTCAGGGTGAAAGCAGTGTCTGCGATGGTGCATTTGGCCCTGCGGAAGGGTTTGTAGGTCTTCACGGCCCTGCCTCACGAGTATTGGCCCAGCCCAAAGTCAGAGAGTTTGGAGACCTTGTGCCAGGGATTCCGGAGCTGGTTCGGGAGATGGCTGAGCCTCCCGAGGTTTCAAATCACCTCTCTCCCCCAGTTCCTCATTTTTCATCTCAGGCTGCACCACATGTAGTTCTGGAGGATGCAAAAGACAAATTCAATATTAGAGATGCAGAAGTTGTGGTCACTCCTGGCTCCCCATCACCAAGCCCCCCACCTCTGCCATCACCCATCCCTGAAAATGAGCTGGAAGAAATTGAGCTCAACATCAGCGAGATCCCACCCCCACCACCTGTCGAGGTAGATGTGAGGAGCATTGACACCCAGGTCACAGAGGAAAACCTGGGCCTTCCCAGGATGGACCCCAGAAACATCTCCAGTCTGAAACAGCAGCTCATGGACCTCGAGGGCAAATTGTCTGGAAGAACTGAGGAACTGGCCCAGGTCAGATCTGCTCTCCAGCAGCAGCAGGAGGAAATCAAGTCTAGAGAGCAGAGGATTCGAGAGCTGGAGTGTACCATTTCTCAACTGGCAGCAAAGCTCGGCCATGAGAACACCAAAGATGCGCAAGGCCAAACAGATGCCACGGTCAACACTGACCCTCTCCACGGCATCTTGGCCAGGGAGTCATGTGACAAGAGCATTGGGGTTGATCTTCTGGGAAGCACGGGATTGAGAAGCTGGGGGGCCAGAGGAGAGGAGAATGGCCTCCTGTGGGGGCAGGACGGTCACAAAGGAGGGCATCAGAGCCCTACAGAACTCATGCCAACACCCCAGTTGTCACTGCCGGGGGGACCCGACTCGGTCCTCACCTCCTCATTGCACAGCTGCTTCTGCACTGAGCTCAGGATTGAAGAAACAGGCTCTGAGCAGGAGGAAGGCCCTCCGGGGGGGATTGGAGCTCTGGTCAGTGAAGCAGGGGACTCTTTATGGAGGGACAAGGCCTCTCCCACAGGGAAGCAGGAGGCCGGTTCAGAGATCCCGGAGAAGGAGGGCCCAGGAAAGCCACCGAGCTCACCCTCCGACGCCACTATTGGGCAGTATGTTAAAAAGATCCAGGAGCTCCTGCAGGAGCAGTGGACCTGCCTGGAGCATGGGTACCCCGAGCTGGCCAGCGCCATCAAGCAGCCTGCCTCCAAGCTCAGCAGCATCCAGAGCCAGCTGCTCAGCTCCCTCAACCTGCTGCTGTCTGCTTATTCCGCCCAAGCGACACCCCAGAAGGAGACCCCAGGCCCCTCTTCCTCCCCCCCGATGGGTAAATACCAGTGTCCAGGGCAGGAAATCTTTTCTCCTTCACCGGTCATGTCTAAGGGTAAAGGAGTTTAAGTTGCATGAGAATTTTTTTTTTCTTAAATATATGTAGTTCCAGGAACCCAGTGGAATAAAAACTGATTTATGTCACCACGGAGGCTTAGCACCCCTACTCTGGTGCTTGTTCTAAGGTTGGAACTCAGTTAGGGACTTGTGTACAGCTGCTGAGATAGCAAAGGGCACAAAGATGCCAACCAGGGAAGGTAAGTGGGAGCTGAATCCAGCCCCCCACTTTACTTGCCAAGCCTGCTGCCCTGGGTCCACCCAGAGGGAAGGGTGCCTAGTTCTCATTTGCATTGAACAAAGGCAGTATCTAGGGCCAAGAATAGCCCCCGGAAAATGTGTTCTAAGTCAGCTGCTGCTGTCTGTCTCCTGGGTTCTTGTGTTCCCGTGATCCTCTCTGGTTCATGCACATGAGAGGTTTCCTCGCGTGTAGTTTTGGAGGAATGTTTTAATGAGACCTGAAATATTTCTTGAGTATTTTCTCCCTCCTCCTCCCTCTGTCTCTTCCTCACATACACACAGAGCACACGCGGTTGCGTGGCCTTCCTGGTGAAGCCCACCCTTAGGCTTAGCTGCTCCTCCTCATCTAGCAGATCATACACTCCTGTGTGGAGTAAAGTAGAATCACATTTTGCTTTGCTCACTGAGCAGCCTGTGGGTCAGCTTCCTGCCGCTGATCACAAATTAGCTGCTTTCTCGTTATTTGGGGGCTAGTTCTGGTCCCGCCTGCTGGGAAATGCCTCCAAGCCCTTGGAGCACAGCAAAAGACTTGTCCTCCTGCTCGTGTGTCTGCCGTGCTGACCCACATTACAGGTGTCAGGGGCCTGTGAGCCAGGAGGGATCACTGAGGTGTCCCCAGCAGGGACGACCAAGGTCAGGGGACTTAAGTCCTGCCCCTTGCTGAGCAAGTCTGAGCCTCTGATTTCCAGTCACAAGACAGGGGTACAAGGGCACCCCACCACAGCTGTTGGGAGAATGTCCGATGCTGCCTTTTCCACGTAGGACTCTGTGAACAGAAACTGTTCGACTGACATTGATCAGAAAGCGGGGCACCTTCAAAGACCCTCAAAATATTTGATTGACATTATCTAGTTCCCTGTCCCTTTTTACTTTTCACACACCTTCAATCTGTACCCCCTGCCCAAAGCACAAGCCCCGTTTTTGTTCCACTCTGGGGCTTCCCCAACATCATTCTAACCTGTGATATTGTGTCTGCCTAGAGATCTCCCCGTCGACCAGCCTTAAGTCCATAATGAAAAAGAAAGACTATGGCTTCCGTGCAGGAGGTAATGGGACCAAAAAGAACCTTCAGTTTGTTGGGGTTAACGGTGGGTAAGCATCGCTCGTGAAGTCCAGCTTGTCCTCCACGCCACCTCGGCCACTCTTGTCCTTAGCACTCTCTTTTCCTCGGGGGGACATCTGGTTTTCATTCTTCAAGGGAATTAATCTCAATGGCTCTTTAAAACTCCATTTTGGCTTTGCATGTGTTTGGCTCCTTGCCAGCTGTGGTGGTCTGTTGGATCCTGTGCTTTTATTATGTCCTGGCTTTGGTATTCCCTGGGGCCAGGAGTCCAGGTAGCTTCTGGGATATTGCGGGGGGTGGGGGGGTGTGGGCCCCTTAAGGAAGATATTTAATCTGAACCACAATGCTGAAAGCAGGACAAACCCCTAATTTGTTGAACTTCAAACTATCCTTTTCAGTTTTTTTCTTTTTTAACTCACTTAGTGCAAACCATACTGGTGGTTTTTTTTTTTTTTTTTTTTTTTTTTTTTTCAGATGAAGCAAAACAACCAATGTCTGTTGACTCAGAACACAAACCAAACCTTACATATTCTAGAGAGCGGCTCACTGGATTTAGAATGCTTTCTAAATCAGTCATTCAACAAACATTTATTAAATACCCACATTGTGTCAGGTGGTGGAAATGAAACAAATCAACAACACATAGTCCCAGTCTTTAGCTCACAGTTTGGGAAGAGAAAAGACAAGAAGTACAGATCCATGCGATATGGGAGAGGGTTCTCTTAGAGAAAAAGCTATGGGATGCTGTGGAAGTTCAAAGGAGAAGCACTTAGCCCTGAGCTTCTGTGATACATGTGTCATCCATGATGAAATGGAATGTCCTAGAATTGCTGCTCTCACTTCTTTTAACATCGGACACTGGGCCCCCATAGTAGCCATTGTATTTTGAGCTCTTACGCCTCGTTTGCAGAAATGGCCAGCCTAATCTCAAAGCCTAAAACAAGGCCTGTTTCTCCTCTGTTTATATAATTTTTTTTTAAAGATTTATTTATTTGTGCATACAGAACTGGGGTACAGGCCAGAGGCTCTGAGTCGATGAGAGGCTTCACCAGAGACAGAGTGGGGAGCAGAACAGACAGATCAACGAAGTACACTGCTGAGGGAGCAGCGGGCGGGCCAGGAGAGGTCTGCCACGCCATGTGGTCACCTCCGGGGCAGGCGACAGGCGGGAATCGAACTCATGCGGAAGTGGCTTTAGCGCCTCAATGCTCTAACCCGCTGCACCACCAGGGAGGGCCAACTGTTTCTCCTCTGTTTAAATGCCCCAACCATCCCCTCTACCCAATAGCAGTCCATGTCACGACTCTAGCCTGCTTCAACCCTATTGTTCACATACATTTGTCCCTTCAAATGTGCTGGGAGCAGGCCCACTTGGGGCTTAGCATTTGCTCTTCTCCCACCTTATAGTCCTCTTCTGCTCGTCCTCAGCCTTTGTTACGCTGCTGTGGTGGGTCTCAGCTTTGACTGCACATTGGAAACCCTAGGGGAGCCTTAAGAAGAATAGTGCTGTGTCCCTTCCCTGAAGACTCCAGTCTGGGTTTAGGAATTTTACCAGCCCCAAGTGATTCTAATGTGCTGCCATGGTTAGGCATTTTGGTCTGATTAAAGTAGCCCTCCTTGCAGCTCTGTATGCCATGGCATGCCTTCATTTTACTTCCAGTTCTTATCACTATCTGAATATAATGTCTACATGTTGATTTGCTGCCTTTCCTGACCAGATTATAATCTCAATACAAGGGCTTTGGTAGAACTTTTAAAATAGAGCCTGACACATAGCCTAATAAATTTCTGTTGCATGAATGGAAATGTGCTTGCAGGTGACTTTTTTTTTTAAGGTTTATTTATTTATGCATATAAACTAGAGTGTAGACCAGAGGTGCAGAGGCAGTGAGAGGATTCACCAGAGACAGAGTGGGGAGCAGAACAGCCAGACTGAGAAAGTACACTGCTGAGGGGAGCAGCAGGTGAGACAGGAGAGGTCTGCTGCACCATGTGGGTCACCCTCTGTGCATGGATCAAACTCACACTGAAGCGGCTGTGGCTAGCTTGCAGTGCTGTGTTTTAACCCACTGTGCCACCAGGAAGGGCCCACAGGTAATGTTTTTATGGAAGTAATTTTAAGATGAGAACTCCTTGGGAAATGTCTCTCACTCTTAATCCCAAAAGGACAACTGAGGAAGAAATATGTGCGATTAACACAAAACAGAATGTGTGCTGACTCCAGTGACAGTGAATGCAGGGCCTTACAGAGGAGCCACTATTCAGGGAAGAAATTAGAGGCATTAGTGGCAGTCACGGCCACTGCCCCTCCCCCACCTCAGTCTCTGTGTGGGGCTGTGTGCAGTGGCCCAGACCCTGAAGTCTTCATCTGAACTGTAGCATTCTTCACCAGGGCTCCTGTTGACGTTGGTATAGAGGGGCTAATAAACGTTCTAGGACTTTCCTCCACAGTTTTTGGGTTGCCATCTCAATGGAGTCGCATCTGATTAAACATGAGGATCATGGCCAGGGAGTGCCAAATATTTAGCCCATACCCTTGCATTTTAATGGGGAATAGGATTTGTACTATTTCTATCAGTGGTTTAAATAGGCTGCAGGCAAGAAAGGCAGTTGTGTTTCCTGCCAGTTCACATATTCTGGGGAGTCCTGCTGCAGCAGACATAGATGATCCACCTCACAATCACCCAGATTTTCCAGGCAACTTTTCAGAGAACTTAGGGTGGGAATGGAGGGGTGTTTGACAAATCTGGTTCCCTCTTTGAACTGTCATCAGAATTTCAGAAAGAAATGCATTTGTGAGCACCTGGGATTGCTTGTCTGGATCATCTACGCCTAGTGAGGGCACAGGCTGTTTGTGCATTTGTTGCAAAGAGCTTGATAACTGTCTCTTCTCCTCAGTAGCCTCTGATATTCTTGCTCCATGTTTCTCTGACTCCAGCATTCCTAGGAGTCCCCTCTTCCAGTCCTGTGGGTGCAGAGGATGGAGAATGTGGTCAGCAAGCTGAAAGTGTCAGCTAAAGCCCACTTAGTTCTCATTCATGTTGACATGGGCTTTGGGCAGGAAGCACTGAACAAATGACCTCTGTTTCCTTCCCCAGCTACGAGACCACCTCCAGTGAGGAGACCAGTGGTGAGGACAGCTCCCCTGAAGACTTGTCTGACAGTGAGGCTGAGAAGAAGTGTGATGGCCCAGAACACAGGCTGGGCAAGGATGGCCATGCCAGCTGCCAGGAGGAGAAGGGCCTCCCCAAGGGCACTGGAAGTGTGGGCCAGGAAAGGGGATCTAGAGAAGAACTCGCCCTTCCCAAAGCTGAGAGGTGAGCCAGATGGGTGCAAATGGGACAAATGGCCCTTGAGAAAGGGCAAGAATGCCCATTCACCCTTTCGTGCAATCCACTGTTCATTCATTTATCCATCCATTCACCGATGTGTGGCCAGTGAATAGTCTATGCCAGGTGCTGGGCACAGGTTGAACTAAACAGTTGTAATTGCTGCCTTCATTGGCCAAGCTGTCACATACTGAGCTCCCACGTAAATTTAACATCAACCCGCACTGGACATGTGAAGTTCACATGTGTATCTCACCTAATCCTTTTAACAGTCCCGCAAGGTCAAAGTTATTTTCATTTCCACTTTACAGACATGGAAATGGAGATTTAGCAAAGTTGAGTGACACCAGAAGCCAAGAGCAGGGATTCATTTTTTTTTAACTTACAACTTCACAATTCTTTTTTTTTTTAAGATTTATTTATTTATGTATACAGAACTAGAGTACAGGGGTGATGAGAGGATACACCAGAGACAGAGTGGGGAGCAGAACAGGCAGATCGACGAAGTACACTGCTGAGGGGAGCCGCGGGTGAGGCAGGAGAGGTCTGCCATGCCATGTGGGTCACTTCTGGGACTGGGGATCGATCTCACCCTGAAGTGGCTATGGCTAGCTTGCAGTGCTATGTCCTAACCCGTTGTACCACCAAGGAGGGATTGAGAGTAGGGATTCTAACCCAAGCCTTTTCTGGTTCCTGCCCATGCGTGATTCATGCAGACACAATCCTGGACTGTTTTGTGAGGGAGGTGATTTGGCATGATAAGAAAGTACTATCCAAGAGCTGGACATCCCTGAATTCAAATCCTACGTCTGCCACTCTGTAACTTGAATCAAGCTATTTAAGTTGTTGCTGCCTCAGTTTCCTCATCTGTGAGTAAACCTGATTGGTTTAATCTGAGTACTGATGGAAAAATACTGAGTGCAGTGCCTTCTACATAGTAGGCTCTCCATACATGGTAGAAATAAGAATAATAATGGTACCTGGGTCAGGTGGATTGGTAGGGCTGCCCCAACATGGAAATACTGTAACGACACAGCAGGTGAGTGGCGCTTCCCAGTGACCATTTCAATAAAAGCCACAATTTAGGCATCTCAAACAATTGATTAACTATCCCTTCTCCCCAGTGGTCTCCGGTGTGAGGGCCCACATTCTTGCTCCATGAGTCTGTCCTAACACTGGAAGAGTGCTTATCAGTATAAGCATCTCAGCTGAACTGATTCTCCTTTGGATTTTATTAGCATAGGTGGTGTTCTCTATAGAAGGATAATGTGAAAAACTTTGCTGGTATGGATTGGGTTCTTTGAATTTTTCAAGCCATTCAGGCAGAAAATATTTGGTCCCAAGTCAGAAAGACAATGCTTCCTTCCCCAGCACATCAGGAATCACAGGTGAACCTGTGGCCCCCCCCAAATGCTTTGGTGATCTGCCACTATACCCTGAAAACAGCAGGATAACAAGGCAGTGGATTTGACATACTCTTGAGAAGAGTTCAGAAACCAGGCCTCCACTCAGAGTGCCATATTTACCCCATAGTTCCGAGGAGTGCCTCTTGTTCTGGAAAGTTACCCAACTTGAATGTTTGAGCTGCTGAGAAATAAAAGAAGAGTATGAAAATCAAGATGTGGAATAACCTTCCTTTATCAACATGAAGACTGATATATATGTTTATCTTTTTTTTCTTTTAGATATAAACCCTCTGAAGAATTTCTTCATGCGTGCCAGGCCCTGAGCCAACAGCTACCAGACATCGGGAGCACAACTGACCAACTCTTGGTACTCTGTGTTTTCATTGTCCTATAAAGATTTCCCAACTGGTGAACTGTTAGTTCCAACTGGGTGACTGGTCCCTTGCCTGGGGCAGCAGAGTGAGCATGCGTGTATGAGTCTCTTTCCTCTGGTGCTCAAACTCTACCTGAGGCAGTAAGTGAGGGGGAGGCTGTGGAACTCACAGCCATGCACAGGCAAGCAGGCTGGGCTCAGAGGCATTTTCCATGTCTTATGAGGCTTTGCACCCCATTGTTATCAGACTGACTTAGGTTCAAAATTACATCATGATTTGGGGAACTGTGGAGAGAGTGGGAAGAGCACTTGGAGTAGAGACTGTCCATCTGTGAGAAATTGGGGAAGTCAGTTCAACCCTCAGGGTTTTGTTAATATGGTGAGGGTGGTGGACAGCAGGTCTCCATTACCTTCAAGCCCTCACATTGAATTCTGTAGCCTTTACTATTTTTCTGGAAGTGTACATCTGGGTCAAGAGACCAAAACCCAGAAAATACATCTGCTTGTTCCTTAATTCCTTCATGGTGCACAGAGATTTAAACATATAACAATTGGATTCTGCTTTTCATCAAGAGATACTGGCACCAACACATTTCCTCGAATTCTCAGAGCAGCTGGTAAGGCTGTATGTGGAACAACTTGCAGGCATATAAAAAAGAAAACATTTTGTTCTCCTTCTTAGAAGAATCTTAGAAGTTAAAACAATCAATTCATCCCAGCCCAGTTTCATTACTTTATCTTAGCTGATTTGGCAAATAACCAAATTGTCAAAGAACGAATATGTAATATGGATGCTGATCAAAAGTCCTATCTCTTAAACTACAGAAACTAAGTTATTTCTGAGTTATTCTTTTAAAACCCACGACTGTTCCTTTAACATTAGCATCATATGCCTGCTTCTCCTAAAGATTCTGTAGGAAAAGGCAATAGCATATAAAAAGTATTTTAGCCAGAAAGAGTCTACTGATTCTGCCCAGAAGAGCTATCAGAGGATGTGAAAAACCTGACAGAACCCCTGTGTCAGAATAAAAGCTCAGGAACCCCCAACCTCACCTTAAAGAAGCACCATATACAAGGAACTCATCTGTAGAACCAGGGGCGTTTATGAAGCCAGCCTTTTTCTCAACCCCATTTTGTAGACACGTAAGGTTCAAGATGGCATATGACTTCCAAGGTCACACAGCTGAGCCAGGACTTCACCTGGGGACATTGCTTTAGTTCGTCCAGCTCCAGTATCCATTCCAGAGTGCATGTAAAATAATGTCTGATCATCACATCCTCATAGTTTCTCATTATGAACCCAAATAATCGAAACGTGTTCCATCTTACACACTTAGGTCATCACACACCGAGCTGATGCATTGACTCGGGGAGCTCTCCTTGTCCATGGCTCCAAGGAAGCTGAACTCCGAACACAGAGAGCAGGGCCTGCCATAGGTTGTTAATCCATTTTCTCTGAAGGTCCTTGCAAGCTGAAAAGTGGAAGATATTTCAAGCACAGCTTTTGGGCTTTATTTCAAGCATAAATTGAGTGTGTTGTTTATCTTAACTTCCAGCATGCGCTTCTCATTAGCGAAGTGTTGTCACTCTCCAGTTAAGCCTTTTAAAAACACTCTGGGGTTCTGAAAAAGATACTTGTACCCCCATGTTTATTGCTGCTTTATTTACAATTGGAAAAACATGGAAGCAGCCCAGATGCCCAAAAGTAGATGACTGGATTAGAAAGATGTGGTACATATATACAATGGAATATTACTCAGCAACCAAAAAAGAGAAACACATGTCTTTTGCAGCAACTTGGATGGAGCTGGAAAAGATCATGCTTAGTGAGATAAGCCAGAAAGAGAAAGAAAAATACCGGATGGTTTCACTCATAGCAGGAGTATAATGGACCAGGCGAGAAAATAACAAAAATAATGAACAACCATAGACCAGAGACATTCTGTGGGGGTGGAGTGGGGAATGGGATCAAAAATGGGGGGGGGAAGGGAGGGAAATGCACGGGACTATGGTGGTGGCACAGGGGTGATTTGGTGATGGGAAGCCTGTGGGGATTACAATTGAGATGAAAAAAAAATGTGAAAAATGATGTAAAAATAAACTTTTTAATATAAAAAAAACACTCTGGGGTTCTGGGAGAGCTGGGTAAGCTCAGTGTAGGCTGTGCATGTGTGTAAGAGAGGGTCTCGTGATTGTGTGTGCATAGGGGATGTGAATCTTGCATACAGTGGGTTCAGATGTTACCTAGTAAGGTTACTGGTAATTGCATTGCTCTTGCAACCCTCCTTGCTCCTTATTTGGGGGCTGATCCCACTAGTACCGAGTAGTTGCCACATTCCCGGTCTCACCAACTCTGAGACCTCCAACAGGAAATCATATGGGAGTTGAAGGGAGCTGGAAGGGGAAAGGTGGCAGCACCCACATCTGGCTTTTCCCAGAAAAGGCACCCACCCCAGATTAGGGAACCTTCTAGAACTGAATCTTTGCATGTTTCAGAGGCAAAGCTTGAATACCATCAGCCAAGAGTGGTTCCGAGTCTCTAGCCGGAAATCATCCAGCCCTGCCGTGGTGGCCACCTACCTCCGTGGGGTCCAGCCTTACTCCCCACACTTCCTAAAGCTGCTCGTCAACTTGGCTGATGGCAATGGGAACACAGCCCTTCACTACAGTGTGTCCCACTCCAACTTCTCCATCGTGAAGCTGCTGCTGGAGACAGGTGAGGCGTAGTTACCTCTGCGGGCTGGGCCACTCCTTGAAGGGTGATTCTTGTCTACACTTCTTTTCTAGCAAGGAGCTTCTTTACTATTCTTCCTGTATCCTAGGAACTGACCTAAACCATTTTGCCTTTGTTGATCATTAATTACTCACAACACTCTGGCAGTGTGAAAGTTATTATTCTCATGTTGAAGTCGGTGAAACTGAGGCTTAGAGAATTACACAGCCTCTCAGGTCACAGTGCTGGTAAGTGGTAGAGTCAGACTTTGTATTCAGTCTGTCTAGAGCTCTATCAGTTACCCTTGGGAATAGTCACATTTTATGCTCTTCGTAAGTATTTTTCAACAAAGGTCATGGCTCCTTTTGACCAATTTTACTCAATTTGATTCATGTATCTCGCATCAGATATTTGGGGGTTCATTATGAGATCCATGCTGGCTACAACCAGGGACTTGAAGGTGAGCCAAGTAGGAGGCCTCTCTGCTCCCAAAGTTTACTGGCTGGTAATCAGCAGGGTAGTGGCTCATAAGGGAGAGAGGTATAGAAGATGATTTCAGGACTCATAGGAAGGGAGATTATGTCCAATTCTGAGAACAGGAAAGGGGTACTGAAGGAGATAGGGTTCTAGCAAGCAGAGAAACGTCCCAAGTAAGAGCACTGTAGGACTGAAAAAGGAAAATTGGATAGCAGAAGGCTTTGGGTCTGGGCTGGTGGGTGAGTTGAAACCCCAGCTCGGTGGACCTTGCATGCAGGCAGAATATTGTGAAACGTATACAGAAGGCACCAGGAAGTCTCTGAGGGCCTCAGTTAAGGGGGCATGGTAAGCGGGGGCATTCTGTGTGAAGGTTCATTTGATGTAGGAGTGGGTTAGTGGCAGGATCAAGGATGGGGGAGGCAGGTTAGTGGGAGCGCTGGGTAGGGGTCCACAGGGAGGTGGTGACAGCTGCAGTGGGTGAGCTTGGTAGGGAAGAGACAAGCACAGCGCCATTGGGAGTTCATGACCGCTGGCTGTGAGGGGCAGGGGAACTGGAGTGCTGTGATGTGTCAAGTTTGGATGACTGAGGAGACAAAGTAGAACAGGTGTGGGAAAAGCAGGAAGGATAATCCCATTTGGGGTAGATTTGTAAGCCTTGTTTTAGGAAGCCAGAGGATGGAGTTTAAATGGGCATCAGAAAGTTTGAATTCCCAGACCAACCACTTTTCTCCCACTTGGATCTTGGTTTTCCTGGCTTAAATCCCACTGTGGCTTGCTCTTAGAATGAAAGGAGGCTTCCTTAACCTGGCCTTCAAGAACAGCGAATGCCCTAACTCTGCCCACCTGTGCCATTTGTGCCACCACCATCCTCGCTTCCTGCCCTCCACTCCTGCCACATGGCTTCAAGCCCCTGCCCTTCTTGGGGTCCTTGGAACTCTTGTCATGACTGGCTCCTTCTTGCCATTCACATCATAACTCAATGTCACCTCCCCAGAAGTCTTCTTGGGCTCTCCCTTACAGTGACTCTCTTGGGGAACACTTTCTGTAGCTCACCTCTACCTGTCCTTTCTGCCCTGCAGAACTCAAGCGACTCTGTCAAAGGGGATTCTTAGCTGTGTCATTCCTTCCAGTATCCCCAGTGTTTAGGCCATTTCCTGGTTCATAAGAGGTTTTGAGTGGATATGCATGTTATATGAGCAAATGGATGAATGACTTCTGGGTGCTAGATTAAATTCTGGTAAACATACAGGTCTCCAAAATTCTATCAAGCAGGCATGAGGCTCTTCACCTGAATGGAACTTACATAACAATAGCTAAAAGTTCTTCCATCTCCCCACATCATCAAAGGAAGGTGAAGTTATGGTGCTAACATTGAGCAGGTTCTATTGGGTTTCAGTTTTTTTTTTAAAGTTTTATTTATTTATGCATACAAGAACTGGGGTGGTCAGAGGTGTAGGGGTGTGAAGATTCACCAGAGACAGAGTGGGGAGCAGAACAAGCAGATCTACTGAAATACACTGCTGAAGGGAGCAGAGGGTGGGTTAGGAGAGGACTGTCACACCATGTGGGTTACCTCTCTGCCTGGGGATTGAACTCATACTGCAGTGGCTGTGGACAGGTTCATAGTGCTGCACTTTAACCCGTTGCACCAGCAGGAAGGGCTGGGTTTCAGTTCTTTATGGATTTGTGGTTCCACTTCCTTTGGGCAGTCGATGGAACTTCCTTGTGGCCTTACCTGTAATATGGAATGATGTCTTGTGTTCCATCTGAGGAATCAAATCATGGTCATTGACTCTCTTGGCCATCTGTGACTCCACTGTGGACCTTCCTTGCTGGATGTCCTATTGCACTTGTAAAAAGTAGCCAGTTTTAAAGGCCACTGAAAATTTAAAGTGCTGATTACATCATGGTAGAGAGGATTGCTCTGTTCCATGGCCTGTACCCAGCAGAGAGCTCCCTGTTGAGCTGGCAAAAGCACAATCTCGCTCTGGCCTTGGGAGTTGCTTCAGCCCTCACTGCTCCTCTTGCAGGTGTCTGTGGTGTGGACCATCAAAACAAAGCTGGCTACACCCCCGTGATGATCACACCCTTGGCTTCTGCAGAGACTGATGAAGACATGGCTGTTGTCTGGAGGCTCTTACGAGAAGGAAACGTGAACATTCAAGCTACTCAGGTAGGAGGTGTGAATACAGATTCCCCTTAATCAATGAAGGGCTGCCAAGTTTTATTCTACCAGGAGGGTGAGAATGCACATCAGATTCATGTAGAGTGTTTAACCTAATAAGGTTGGGAGCTCCCAACCTTATCTGTCCAAAGCCTGAACATTTGTTTTCCTCAAAGATTTCTGAGACCCAGACGGAATGGGAGTGAAGTCAGGGAGCTTGTAATCCATGTGTCAGTCAGAACCAGCCAGATTCTGCCTGAACACTAATCAGTGTTTCCATTTTTAGCTCCTTCAGAAGACCCCTGTTGGTTGACAGTGTTGGGGGCCCCTACAGGTGATTCATCCTAATCGTGAGCAGAGCAGGTCAGAATTTGGAGTATCTCCTGAGAAAACAGAGAGATTCCCTTGTCTGGGTTCACATAGGTAATTGCAGAGCTGAGATTTTTGTGACTACAAACCCCCTCTCTTTCCTCTATACCCCAGCATTCTGGGCAGGGAGCATAATCCATCAGTGACTGGAGGTATAATCAGGAAACACATCAGCAAACATGTCCTCAGTACTTTTTCCTTGTAAGACACTGTGCTCAGTGCACAGGGGATCTGAAAGAAGAGGAAACAGTCTTTGCCTCATTTTCACAAACTTTCAATGCCTGACACCCAGAGAGTTAAGCTTGCCCCATCTGGAACCCAAATGATCCATGAGAGCAAAATATAATCAAGACCTATGAGGGGACTGTGTGTTTCTATAGGAAAGCTGAGCTATGAGAAGTGATGACCACTTTGTAATTAAAAACTGACCATCATAAATTATAAACTTATATACTACATCTCATTTGATTCCCCAAAAGCCCTGTGAGGTAGATAACATAAATTGTTATATTAATTTTTATATAAAAACAAAAACCAATAAAACCAGTAAGATTCAGGGGAGACAGGTGACAAGGCCAAGTTCACACCCTGGGAAACAGGGGCGCTAGAGCTTTGTCTCACTTGTTGACTAACCCATTGCCTGGTCCACCAGTAATCACAGAACTGTAAAATCATTGTCAGTGGCTGTGGGTTAGAAATGACCTCAGAAGGAGGCAAAAGGGTCTTGATGAGACAAGAAGACCCTGAAAATATCAGCAGTGTTCAGAGTAGACCAAGGCTTCCTGGAGGAAGTTAGGTTGGGGCAGGCAGGAAGGAACCAAGGTCTTGATATGATTAACCCTTCACTTAAGTCTTTATTATCATTTCTCAGCACTCAGGTACTAGGTTTCAGGGAGAGAGACATGAAAAAGACTTAGTCCTTGCCATCAAACATTTCACAGTCTATGAAGAAGACAGAGATTGACAAGCTGACACCTAGGTGCTAAGCACTGGGTTATTAATTCTATGCCTGGGGAGTTGGAAGAAGGTGCTAGAGAGGATGCGGCATTTGACTAAGTATCTTGGAGGAGGAGTAGAAGTTTGCTGGATGGAGAAGGATATGTCTCATACCCTGAGTAGATCAGGGGTCACTTTCTGGGGAAGCCTTCCCTGAGCAGACTCAAGCAGTGGGGACCCTATTTGTCAGTAACAACCTCACAGCACCCCTGTGCCCTGCGTGCAGGGAGGCCAGACCGCGCTGATGCTGGGAGTTGGCCACGACCGGGAAGACATGGTCCAGGCACTACTGAACTGCCAGGCAGATGTCAACCTGCAGGACCATGATGGATCTTCGGCCCTCATGCTGGCCTGTCACCATGGCAACGCTGACATGGTGAGGCTGCTCCTGGCACACCCGGCTTGCGACAGCAGCCTAACTGACAAGGTGAGATTGATAGTTGGTTAACAAGTGGATGCTTCCCTTCCCTTCCTGAAAAAGGCCCCACCAGCCAGAAGACTTTAAGGAGTTATATGGCAGTAGCAATGGAATCGACCTCACAGGGATGTTACGGGATTTTAATGAGATGGTCCATGCTAAATGCTTGGAGCCTTGGAGCTCAAGAACCCCAAACCCCAAGCCTTTTGCAGCCTCCTGAGGGAGTGTACCCAGGCCTAGCGTTGGCCCTGAGCCTCATCTGGTCAAGGCAATAACAACATGTGGGCTTGAGGCAGCATCTTAGACCTAAAAGTATGTTGGGGACTCCTAAAAGCCTGCATGAAGGAGCCAAAGGCAAATTTTGTCCACCCTCTGACAGTGACCCATGTTAGAAAGTGGCCCACTTCCTCAATTCAGCCTGTTTCAAGTTGCCGTGCTGGCTAGCTGCTGTAGAGAAGGTATTGAGGGTGCGGGACAAACTGCTAAGCCCAAACTCTCCACATCCATCACTGTCGCCACCCTTAGGTCCACACCTCTGGCTCCCTGAATTCCTAATAGCTGGTAGAGGGTCTGCCATGTATCAGGGGCATGAATCCTGAGGAGTTCACTGAATGAACCCCTCAACTCCAGAGACACATTGTCAGAACCAGATCCTATTACTGATAATTACAGTAAGTGCTCTTTCTAGGGTACTCCTAGAAACATTACCTCGCTAATACCCTCTATAATCCAGCCAGGTAAAGACTCCATCCCCATTTTTTACCAATAAGGAAAGAGGCCTGGAGCATTTATATGGCTGTTGTAAGGTCGTAGCTACTGACTCTCAGCAGGGATTCTAACTCAGCCTGGCATTTGGTTCTAGATAGCTCGAAGTACACCTTTCTATGTATTCTTTTTAAAAATTGAGCTACAGTTGACATGTAGTGTCATGTTAGTTTCAGGTGTGCCACGTAATGATTTGGTATTTGTACATGTTGGAAAATGATCATATAGTAAGTCCAGTTAATATCCACCCCCATACTGAGTTACAATTTTTTTCCTTGTGATCTGAACCTTTTAGATCCACTTTCTTAGCAACTTTCAAATGTGTGATCCAGTATTATTAATTGAATATGCTGTCCACTACATTCCTGGAATTTATTTTATAACTGAAAGTGTACTTTGATCCGCTTCACAAGTTTCTCTCACCATCTATTGCACCTGTCTGTACCTTCTGAATGTCCACAGTTCAAAGGGAACAGAGGCCTGAAATGCAGAAGAAAGTGCCCTCCCTAGAAAGGGAGACCTCTGTGCCACATCTTACCAGCTACATCTGCACCCACCAGTGATGTACCGCCTGGAGTAATTTCTAAGCTAGAGAGCACAAACCCTCTTGCAATACTTGTGGGGTCAGGTGGTGGGCTGCTAGAACTAGAGCCTCCTTTTCCAGACTCTGTACTGTCCGGCAAAGGGATGTATGCTTATGAGCTCCTGTGGGGTCACCATGGGGCAGAAGTCGGAACCCAGGGCTTTCTTGGCAGTGACCACAGCTGTTGCCTAAGGAAGCCTGAGAGGCAGGTGCATGGACAGGCAGGACGTTGCTTTGTCTGTCCCTGGATCGCTGGGATAACAGGCTGTGAGGCAGAGGTCAGTCACAGAGAAGAGGGGCTCAGTGGCTTCTTTCAAGAGGCAGAGAATCAGCTGTAGCAGAAGGCTCTGCTGTGCTCAGACAGGTAGATTGTTGGAAGCATGGGCTTTAAATTCTCACGTGTCTAAAACTGGGTTCACCTAACCATGCTATATGCTCATTTGTTAAACGGGGTGACTATGGGCCCTACCTAAAATATGCTAATGTTCATGAAGGTACTCAGTTGATGGTAACTATAATGGTTATGAACAGGGAACACAGGCAGGTAACTAGGAGACAGCCATCACCGAACGAGCAAGAATCTGAGCATTTGGGGGTCGTGTGTGTGAAGGCAGTAGGTAGGATCTAAGTCTGGAATTCGGGGGGCAATCAGAGGATACTGGCCCCCTAAGCAAGAAACTGACTGATTAGGATATTTGTTCTAATCCAGTGATTCTCATCCGAGGGTGATTTTGCCCTTCAGGGGAGATTCAGCTATGTTTGGAGATGTTTTCACTTGTTACAAATGTGGGGAGGGGCGGTGGGGTGTGGGGGGTACCCTTGGCATCTCTTGGATACAGGCCAAGGATGACACAAAATATTTCTACAACACACAGGGGCAATGAAGAATTACAAGTTTTCTGACCCAGACTCTCATTAGAGTACCCCTGGGGTGTAGGCAAGTGCTGAAATCCGGGTGGGATTAGACAGACAGCTCAGGTGAGAGCTGGACCAGGAAAAGTCAGGTTGGGGTCCGGGACTGAGTCAGCAGTTCTGGGGTGATCGAAGCCTGGGAGGGCAGAACTGGGCTGCTAAGTGGAGATGGCACGAAGCTGTTGAGGGAGCAGGGACAGCTGGTGAGCACAGAGGCAGCCAGGTGGTGTGGGTTGGAGGCCCATGGGGGGGCTCTAAACCCCAGTGTAGCCCAGCCATCTGCTGCCTTCTTGGGTCATGGGTGACTAGGAATTCACACCCAAGTTTCCTGAGGGTGACTTGGGTGAGAAATTCTAGCTGGAGAATTTCTGGTGGAGACCCACCAGACAACAAATCTTGTGCCCTGACTTTACATTGAAATTTGGGGTTCTTCCATCATCACCCTCTGATTTCAGTGTTCAGAGGCGATCCTACCACCCAATAAAGTTGATATAAATACAGAACAGCCAGCAGGCATATTTCCCAAGTTTAGCAGATAACTTTAGAAATCTACCACTCAGACTTTTGGGGGCTGCTGGGGTGACTGGGTGGGGAGGTGGTGGTAAGGAGAGGTGGTCAGGACCCCAGAGGCTCACGTGTTATAGCTGCCTCTCCAAAGGCCCCATCAAGTGGAAATCTTCTTGAGGCAGACTACCCTGCTCATCTTTGCCAGATACATCGTGTTCCCTGTGAGTCCTAGTGAAAGTCGACACCCTACAGACACACACATGAAGCCTCGCTGGCTGCCTGGCTCCTTCCTCGATGTAGGCCTGTGGGGTGGCTGAGCAGGAACCCGCCACATCTGCTTCCCACTCCAGCAACCTGGAGTTCCTGGAGTTCTGGTAGTCTCTCCCCAGGTCTTTGAAGCCGTGCTTTCTGAGCCGAATGGAGTCCCTCTCTCTCCATAGACGTAGGCTGGGCCACAGACATAGGGCCTCCAGATGGCCCTGCTGGACTGTGCTCGTGTCCCCAGGACAGGCCCGGAGCATCTCTCCCATAAGAAAGATAATCATAGTCTTCTTGTTTACATACAGTCCCAGGAAGACAAAGCAGCAGTGGAATCCAGCATGCAGGAGGAAAGGCAGAAATAAACCCAGGACACTCCCTAGGGGACTTCTGACAAGATGACTGTTGCAAATCTTTGCTTTGTTGCAGATTTGCCTGATCTAAGAAAATACTCAGTAGGACTTAGGTTGCTCAGGTTCTTCATCAGCTTGAGACAAATCCCTCTCTGTTACCATCCCCAGACCCTCTCTGCGGTGTTTCCTGAGTGCTGACCAGACAGGAATCACAGGGCCGGGGCCTGGGATGTCCATGCTGGGCCCAGGGAAAAGGTGTTTAAAAAAAAAAAGAAACCCACAAATTTAGAGCTCTGATTGCTTTTATTCAGTGACTCACGAATCAGGCAGCAAGATATCATAGGACTGGAAGAGAGGGTGAAACAAGGGGAAGACAGGGGTGGGGTTTTCTTATCAGGTAGGTGACCTCGTGGGACCTGTAGGGAAACTACAGAATTATGTTTTTGGGAGAGGTTGAAACTGTAACAGATGTTAAGTCTGGGTGGAAGCTGGTATAAAGGACTTTATTTGGGGCTGTTTTTCTATTAACACAGACTAGACCCAGTGCCTTGACCTAGTGGAGACAGATTAAATAACCCCACAAATACCAATTTATATAAAGGGTGGTCAGAGGGAAGTACAGAGGTCATGAGGCCTTTTCAGGGAAATAATTACATGTTCTGTGAGGTCCCTGTGCTGCTTTTTGAGGTCACCCCTAAAATGCCTTTCCTCCCTCTGCTCCCCCTGTACATGCACACACACACACACACAGAGTCATCTTCTCCCTTAAACTCACTGCTCTCTTTTCCAGCTCCTTAGGCTTTTTGCTCTGCACTGTAGTTCTTTACATGGGCATGGAGTCCCAAAGGCAGCTGAACTCCATCATGCACAGAGAAAAGATTAGAGAGTTCAAAATTGAGTGTGACCACTTCCGACCTGGTTGTGTAGATTTTTCTCATCCTAGGAAATAGCTCTCCTATGAACAGGAGAGACAATCTAGTGGAGACGCGGGTGTCCCCCCATGTTACCAAACCATCAATATCTATGCAGCAAAATGTAAAATATTCACATCCACACTAAGTAGGCTAAGTAAAGATCATTGAGTTTTTCTTCCAAATGAATTAACAAAAAAGCAGCTTTCGGTGCTTTTCACGTATCACAATTCTGGCTACAGAATTGTGCCCACTCACAAGTCCTCTCCAAGTCCAACATCCTCTGAATCACCTTTCTCCTCAGCTCTCTGTCAGACAGGCAGAGACGCGGTAGGTCTGCCCAGCCTGTTGGGTTGCAGCTTCCTGAGACAGTGGGCCTGGAAGTGTCTTGCTATAGTTTGTCCTCCCATGCTATGTGCCTACAGCTACATGTTGGCTCTTAAGCAACAATTAGAAATGGGAAAATGCTTTCTGCATGAAGTTTCTGATGGTGAAGACTTGCAAACAACAGAAATCTCCAATAGAAGAGAAATAGTTCTATAAGATATGGAATATGATACAACCGATGAGAGAAATTTCATAACATGGCTGTAAGAACCGTAAAAATATCTCAAGGGATGCCATGGTAAGTTATAAATTAAAGAAAATTCAAAATTGGCACATACTCTCATTCTCATTTAAAAGCCGATCACAAATTTTACGGAAGACTGGAGGGAAATATACTGAAATGCTAACTTTGATTTGGAACCATTTACTTTCATGTGTCGCTTAAGGACCTTCTGGTCAACATCTGACCACAGGTGAAGGTGGCCCCAGTAGGTGTGACTCCAGAACCTGGTGTCCAGTGGGTTGTACTCTCTGGACCTGTGTGACATTCTCACAAGGACAAGATCCCCTCAGACCAGTTTCTGAGAACATTAAGTGTCACACCACTGTCATTAACTCACACATTACTTTAAGCAAATAATGAGTTCTTTTCTCTGTTTTCCAATTAAAAAATGAAAGTACTAAAACCAAGTGACATTGTTTTATGTCCATTGGTACAGATTTCCCAGAGGGAATGCGGTTTCTGTGCAAATGACTCCATCTCTCTTGGTCCTCATGTGCCTCAAATCTCCTCTCTTAGGGTCTCTGGGTACTTGAAATTGACTTTACACCCTATGGGTACCCCTTGCTCTCAACTCACCCTTCCTCTCTGGGGTGGGAGATAGGATAAAACTGGTTTCTCCTTCTCTCCCCTGTAGGCTGGTCAAACAGCTTTGTCCATCGTTCTGAAATCACCCGCCCATGTGGAAATTGCTGGGCTTCTGCGGGCCCACGCGGATCAGGGCAGGTCCCTGGAGCCATAGAGGTGGCGGAAGAACTGGCAGCTTGGAACAAAAGGCTCCTTCTCTGGACTCCTCCTCGCCCTTGGAGAGGGCATGGGTCATACGCAGAAGGCCACCCCTCCAGAGAAGAAACTATGTCAAATATGCACATACATTCCTGTTGTAGAATTCTGCTCATTAGGAAGCTTTGTAGTTTTCGCCTTAGGCCAAGCCCCCAAACTACTGGCGCTACAGAACAGGGTGCAAGGTAGAGGGTGCATTAGCGTTGTCAAAAAATCCCAAGCATCTTCAGCCTTGAATTCCTTGTGACTGGCCTTTGTAGCACCATAGAGCCAGCAGGCAAGCAGGAGCACATTAGCAGAGCAATACTTTACAAGAAATTTTAAAGCGCGCCATCTTTTTGTTGTGTAATCCATTATCCATGAATATGTTTTGTTAACTATGCATGTCTAGAAGATGAGGGAAATTTCAAGCAGCTACCTTGGCAATCATCTTCCAGAGAACCCTAGGAGAATCATCATGCAGAGTGGTGAAACTGAACAGACCCCAAGTGGGACCTTTGTTTAGCTGAGGTTGACACAGAGTTCTGAAGTTCAGACAAGGGAGGCAGGAGCAGACCAGCATCAGAGGCCAAATGCAGTCTCGGCTGTTTCCCAGTCATTGTGTGGCTCCAATTTGCACCAGGGAAATTAGGAAATTCAATCTAGTGAAGCACACCACATGTTCAGGCAGAGCCGTGAGATGTTCCGAATCTGTAGAAGGAACAAATGGAGAGCGTCTTCCTGAGACCAGTGATTGTCATCCAGCGGTCACACCTTCCCCCCTCACAGTATCAGAGGCTTCGTGACTAAGACTGTTCTGTTCCCACATTGCCTTTATGAGCAAACGATGAGCCCCCATGAAGCTTGGCAATTTCTGGGGTTCCAGATTGCAGGACCTGCCAGTCTGGGCTGTTAGCGAGCGTCGTGGGAGCCAGACTGGACCAGCCCACTCTGGGCTGACAGCTCATTGGACAACTTTGTTCTAAGCTTCATAACCCCACCTGGGCATGGCTCATAATCAGTAACTCACTCAGGTGATCTATGAATTTGTTCTTAAAGTCTCATGTGAAAAAAAATCCCCCTCATGTAAAAAGAAAAGGCATCAAAGTTCAGGAGCCTCACACTGGAAATGCAGAAGTTGGAGTTCTCATTTTGACCTAGGTGCCAATTTGCTCATGCCCTTTAAATGAATCACAGACTCCCTTTGGGTCTCAGTTTAATCATCTCTAAAAATGGCAATTATCGTACAGCCTATCTCCTGGGGGGGTTTCTACAAGGAACAGCTAGTAGAAGTTGAGGAATCCAATTTGTGATCCATAAAGACTGCTGAAATGGCTCAGCAAATTTCTGTATGATGTTGTGATTCACAAGAGAGGCTCAAAATCCCAGAGCACGATGGCTAAGGTGTGATGGTGTAGTCCAGAGGTGGACAGAATGGAGCAAACAATGAGCTAAGAATGCTTTGGAAGAGTTTATTTGACCTCAAAGCACATTTTAAAAGCAAAATCCTACAGTAAAAAATGTTCTACCCCAGGGCTTTTCAAACTTTGTGTGCATACAAATTGACTAGAGATCGTGTTAGAATGCAGAATGGGAAGGCCAAGGGCCTCGGATGCTGCATTTCTAACCAGTTCCCAGAGGAGAACGACAGTGTGGGGCCAGCAGAGCTCTGGCCTGTCCTGACTGTTGATATTAAAATGCAGCCTGTCAATATTTTGCCTCAAAGTTTCTTTGTTTTTCTCTGCTCTTGGCTCTTGGTAATTTATATTCTGGTTCTTACTTGCTTTGTGCCTTTGCAGACTGTGACAGGGAGTCTATGTCCTATGTGACCAGTTTGGGGCGACTGCCACTTCTCATATTAGAGTGGCGCTTTACAAATCACTGGTCACTTTACAAATCATCTCACTTGAGTGCAGCTATTAAAAACCAGCTCATTGACCAGAGAAAGCGAGCTACTTTCCTTAGAAAAATTGAGACCACTGAGTCATAAAAATTGATTGTCCACCCTTTGGGGATTTTTTTTTAAGATTTATTTATTTATGCATACAGAACTGGGGTACAGGCCAGAGGTGCAGGGGTGGTGAGAGGATTCACTAGAGACAGAGTGGGGAGCAGAATAGGCTGACTGAGGAAGTACACTGCTGAGAATTAACAGCGGGTGGGTCAGGAGAGGTCTGCTGCACCATGTGGATCACCTCTGGGGTGGGGATTGAACTCATGCCGAAGTGGCTTTAGCTTCTTAGTGCTGTGCTTTAACCCACTGCGCCACCAGGAAGGGCCCCCTTGGGGGGGGGGGGTTAATAATTTTCTTTTAATCTTCAGCACAGAGCGTGTACATATGACCTCATCCCTTATAACCACTCATTCTGTTGAAAATTCATTCTACAAACATCTTTTGAAATCAGCCAGGTACTGGACACTGTTCTGGCTTTTAGAAAGCAACTCTGGCCCCTCTACAAAAGCAGTGTCACGGATTACCATGACCCCCAAACCAGGCTTTTTAAGACCCTAAGCCAGCGTTCCATTGATTAACACTGTTTTATCAAGTGCCTGGCAGCTCAGCCTCCAAGCAACATAAATCAGTTTGGAGACAGATATGACATTTGGTCCTGTGGAGAGACCCACAGATATTTCATCCTCCCTTACTGTCTTCATAGAGGCAGTCTGATTTGGAAGACAGGACACATAGCACAGTAGTAGAGAAATAAAATGAAGCAACACCGTTCATTCCACAAACACTTCTAGAGTGCCCACTGTGTGGGCACTGGGCTTGCAATGAGCCAGCATAGTGACAGCACAGCCTGTCACCTTGCCACTTACTTGTGGAAAAGAACAGCCAAAGGGACACTTCAGGGACACCATCAGGGCATCAGAGCTGGTCTTAGAGACTCCAGGGAGGCTTCCTAGGGGAAGAGGTCTCTGAACTGAAAACTTAAATGGACATTAGCTCCAAGAGGGAGAGGAATAAGAGATGACGTTAGCGTATCTGGCACTGCCAGTGCTGAAAGATGGGAGAGCAGGCATTCAGAGACATCATTCAGTTCAGCGGCGCTGGTATGTAGAAGTTGAGTGAGATGCTGAGATCAGAGCATGGTTTTGAAAGAGATGGGCCCTCGAGCCATGACCAGACTTTGCTCTAAAGGCAATGGAAAGCTAGTAAAACCAGATTTATGAATGAGAAATTCAGTCATTTAACTCCTTTAACAGACAGACCAGGTACTCACTACCTTCTGAGTAGTGTTTGAACTTGGGGACATACTGCTGGGTAAGGTAGACACAGGGCATACAGTTTAGTGGGGAATAAGGCAAACATGTCATCTGGCTCAGTGAGACCATGTTGTGACTGGGGAAGTACCAAGTCCGTGGGGATACATAGGTCAGACCCTCCACTGGGGGTGGGGGAAGGGGTTCCAGAAAGGCTTCCTGAGGGATCCTGTGTGTATAGGAGAAAACATAGTATGTTTAGCGTTTGGAACTATCCACAATTCAGTTGTACACTGGGTGTCTTGGACTATCTCCCCACAGATAAGGGGAAACCACTGTAATTTAATACAATAGCCACAGAGTGCTTGGCCTCTATGATGTAGTTCATTCAATATGTGCTAGTACATTTTCCCTGCCTCCTGGTCATAGATTATCTTCCCTAGACTTGACTCCATATAATAGATTGTCTTCACTGAGTACTTTGTTCTACAAAAACATGAGTCAGGGTGAGCTACAAAATCATTTACTCCTCACAATCACCCTACAAATTAGGTTTAATATCTCTATTCTGCCGAGAATAAACAGAGGCACAGAGAAGTTAAGTCACTCACCCAAGGCCACAAAGTAAACAGCAAGTCAGGTGAGGTGCTTTGGCCCTGTGAGGATATTCCGCTGTCTGCCATGCACCTGGGCATTTATTACTCCCTTGCCAGTGATTCAGGCTGGCTAGGTGTGCCCAGCAGGAGGGGTGGACTCTGAGGGAACAGAGCTGCTCTGAGGCCAATCATTAAGATAGCAGTTGACCTGTAGGTGCTGTGGGCGCCACCTTGTGGTGATCTAGGGAATGATCACCTTTTGGTATATTCAGGGAATTGTCATTCACCGCTAACACAAGGGCAGCCCCTGGAGTTGCCCACAAAGTGCCCCGTGTCCCATGTGATGTTGGACAGGGTCTCTAAGGAGGCTTGGACATCTAGGACTCGTATTTCAGAAGTCTGCTTAGGCAGGCAGGTGGATGGAGAGAGAGAGACAGATAGTGAGACAGAGAGAGAGACATTGTATGCTGAGGGTATGGGGGGGGGGCAGAGGAAGGGGGACAATATTCCTCTGCCCATACAGGAATCAGAATCAGAGGGAGACAAGGGACCAAGGTGGGGCCCTCGCCACATGCTAAACTTCTAGTGACCCCATGCATATCTGAGCTCCAATCTCAGCCCCCACCTGTTTTGGCAGTCTTCTTCCCGAGAGTCTTCTCATGGGTCTCCCTCTGCGTGCGTGTGCCTAACTTTCCCATTTTTGTCGAGGACAATAGTTATGTTGGATTATGGCCCACTCTAATGACTTTGACTTGATGATCTCCATTAAAACCCTATTTCCGAGGTTCTGCAAGTTGGGACTTCGACATCTCTCTTCTTTCTTCTTAAAATTCCCTCTCCTCTCCCTCTTCCTTGCAGAAAATGCCAAATTTCTCTATTATTGTTTTTCAAAGTTTTAAAGATAATTTCAATGAAAATACAGCATCCTTGGGGCAAAGGCCAGGAGGCTTTGTCTAGGAAGGCACACGAGGCCCCAAAAGTTTCCTGCCCTCCTGTGGACACAGCCAACAGCTACCAACATTTTAAAAATCCTCCTGGAAGGGCGGCCTGGGGCCACAGACAGCTGCCAGCCCTGCTGGGCTCAGGGAAACCCAGGCACCCTTGCCCAGGAGGGACTCCAGGCACCTAGGGGAGAGGGAGGCTGTCCCAAGCCCAGAACCCCTTAGTCCACCCGGCGGGGGGTGATGTCCAGCCGCCTGGGAAGCCAGGACAGATTCTGCCTGGCAGAACCCAGGGAGCCGAGGGACATCGCCAGGCGGCGCTCTGCTGGCGGAGCTGTGCTCTGGGCCTGTGGCCCCGCCTGGCCTCCCGCGAGAACTCCAGGCACTCCAGGTCCACATCCAGACGTTGTGGCCTGAGTCAAAGCACCCCCTGTAACACCAGGGGCCGCTCCAGCTGCTCCCGCAGACCCGGCCACTCTCTCGGCCTCCCCTCTGCTGCTCCTGCTCTGGATGCGCATCCGGCCTGGAGGAGGTTCGGCTGGGTGCACAGACTGCCCCCTGCACTAGGCAGAGCTGCCCACCCCTGGAGTCAGTGGGGGCCCTAGTGACTGCCTCAGCAGTGCCTCACAGAGGGTTGGGAACTTCCCGGGAAGTGGACATGACACCAAAGGAGGCTTCTACTGGGTCTGCTTTGCATTTCTTTTCCTAGTTCATTTATAAAGCTATTGTGAGTTGGATGGTTACCCTAAAATAATGTCCCTGTGGAACCCGTGAAGTGACCTCATTTGGATAAAGGTCTTTGAAGATAAAATTAAGGGCTGCAAACGAGATCCTGGACTTTCAGGTGAGCAGCAAATCCAAAACCAAGAGTCGTAGACGGGACACAGACACTTTGTGACGACAGAGGCAGGTTTTGGGTGATGGAACCACAAGCCATGGACCACCTGGAGCCCTGTGAGCTGAGAGGCAAAGAACAGACCCTTCCTTGGTGCCAGAAGGAGCCCAGCCCGGTGAAGAAGTCATTTTGGCTGCTGTCAGCTACAGTGAGGTAAACATACCGCAAGGCTTTTACCCTGCGGGGCTAGAGTTCCTCTTCCTGAATCCCTGTTGCACCGAATTAGGAGGGTTCTAGGACTCGGGGGAGCCCGAGATGGCAGGTGACACTAGAGCTGCCTCCCCCACATCCACCCGACATCCCAGACAAGCTCATTTCTTTCTGTTCTTAGTAACACCAAGTCTTAGCAGGGTCTTGCAGAGAGCAGAGCAAGGTTGGGGTATCTGTGAAGTTTGGAGTCAGGCTGAGGGCAGCTTTTTTTGTGTGCATAGGCTGGAGAATTATGATGGAATAGCTCAGGATCGGTGGCCACTGGAAGGGAGCATTTTTTAAAATGCTTTTTTTGATTTTTACATCAATTTGTGACTTTTTCCTACTCAGTTGTAATCCCCGTGGGCTTCCCATCACCAAATCACCCATGTGCCATCACCGCAGGAAAGGGATGTGTGTGCAGGGTCTTGGAGAGGGCAAACTGTCATTTGATGTTTTTTCTGTAAAAAAGGTGAACAATTTGGTGATTGCTTCAATAGTTTGTGGAACCCTTCTGGAATAAACAGCATTTACTTCAACTTTTATCTTCTGGGCAAAGGTTTCCCGATATTATCCAGTTCTATTGATGACGACAATCGAATAGGGAAGTCGTGCTAATGTAGACAGAGCTGTGCAGGTGAGGGTGATTTCAGGCCTCAGGAGAAAGCCACGGAGGCTCCGCGCTGGTGCCTGGACACCTGTCAGGCGCTTTCCAGGATGCCAGGGTGTTATAACAATAATCCTGCAGTGGGTGACTGCTATCACTCATAACCACGGCACAATCATGCCACTTGAACACATGTTCCTCTTTTTAATTAATTTCTTATTACGTCACTGTGGTGTCCATAGTTCTCCCACCACTGAGAACCATCATCCTGTTCCCTGTGT